TACTCTACTCTACTCTCTCTACTCTCTCTCTCTCTCTCTCTCTCTCTCTCTCTCTCTCTCTCTCTCTCTCTCTCTCTCTCTCTCTCTCTCTCTCTCTCTCTTCTCTCTCTCTCTCTCTCTCTCTCTCTCTCTCTCTGTAATTCTAAACTTTCTCTCTGATATTTCACTGCTCCCCCTTACCCTCTTTTGTTCATCGTCCGCTCCAGTCAAAACCACCAATTCACCCCGATTTGAAACCCAACCAAATCTCTCTCTCTCTCTCTCTCTCTCTCTCTCTCTCTATTTTTCTCTCTGAAATTACAGACTGTGCAGGGGAAGAGTTTGGGGATTAGTGTGAGGTATCTTCAAATTGGTTTCTAGCGCTGGATTGAGAACAAGAATACGTTACTCAGAGGTTAGTGAGTTCTCATATGTGAAAAGCTCAAAAATTATGCTCGTCTCCTCTTTTTCTTTTTAGTTTGCTTGGGTTTTTCTTGTGGTTGTTTATCTTTGTTGTTTGTTTAATCTTTTATTTTATTCAATTTAATGTGAGTGGAGACTGAGGATCTCGTTGATTATGTGTGTCATTGCCTCTGGAAAATAGGGATTTGTCTCTCTAGAAAGAGAAGGGACAAATTATCGTTCCTCTTTCTTTCTACTTTCCCACCTATGCAGTATGGTACACCAGAGGGTCATTGCGGTCGTTGGTCGATATCAGAGAGTGGATATTAATTGAAGTGTGAAAGATGACAGTTACTTGTTTGTTAATATTGCAATGGTGGAATGGCTATAGAGAGAGATTCGTTAGTTGGTTGTTAATCTTGCGATGTTGGAGAGAGATTAGTTACTTGTTTGTTAATCTTGCAATGGTGGAAAGGCTAGAGAGAGATGGATGTACAATTTTTGGCAAGAAGTTGACCATATGGTTATTATTATTATTATTATTACGGAGGCATTCGGGCAGTCCAAAAGAGTTGGGCACCGGCTGGGTAGGGGCCTATCCAAGCCCGAGCTTCTTTTTTTTTTCTTAATGTTAACCTTTAATATATAAGAGAGAATAATACGAGAGTCCTTGGCAATCCAAAAGCGAGGATGCTCAAGGAAGAGAACAAACAAAAAGCATAATCAAAATCCTCTTTTAAGAGGTTACAATGAGGCACAACAACCTAGGAAAACAGGTTGATTTGCAAAACATGAGGAAAGGCCAAAAAACCAAAACAAAAAGATCTAAACATTAGCCATCGCCGCTGCTTCTTTAGTCAGGGAGTCAGCGTCCTGATTTCCTTCCCTCCAAGTATGCATCCACATGATGGACATATTCTGGAAAAGATTATCAATCTCGTCAAAGACGTGTGCCAAGGACCAAGGACGGGGTGAGGAAGAAAGACTCTGTGCCAAGTAATGGTGTTCTTAGAATCACCCTCCACTACAAGCGAATGCAGTTGAAGGGGTGAGTTTGAGGCCTTCCAAGAGAGCGAGTGCTTCAGCCTCCATGGAGCCAATGTGGCCTATTTGTTTAGATGTTGTAGCCACAGTAGTACCGAGGTGGTCTATGAAGATTGCTCCTATCCCTGACGGACCGGGGTTGCCAAGAGAGCACCCCTCAAAATTGAGGGGGTTTCCATCAGGAAGCCCTTTGCCGGCACGGTTGATGGAGTTGAAAAATATTTGTCCAGTCTTGGCTGAAAGCCGAGGCAGTAACTCCTTTGAAACGCTGATGATTGATCACTTAAAAGATTATCATGGACTTGAGCTTGTTGAAAACTTTGTAGCAAGTTGAGAATTCCGCCTGAAAATTCTATTGTTGCGCTCCAGCCAGATGGCCCACAAAGCTGCTGCCACCATAGATTTCCAAAGGAGAATTTCAGCCTTGTGCCACTGGTAAGGTTGGATGGAAGTCACCTCTTCAGGTAACACCCATGGCATGTTAAACAATTTGAGGATGGAGGCCCAAATGTTAAAGGCAAATGGGCAGTGCAGTAGTAGATGATCATTGATCTCTTAAGCTTCGAGACACATGACACATTGATTAGGAATCGGGCTCGCTCTTCTTTGCAATTGATCTACAGTTAGGACTCTTTGGGAGAGGGCCAACCACATGAAGATCTTGATTTTGGGTGGGGCTAAAGTTGTCCAGGCTTTGGCTGCAACAACGTTAGGAGCTAGAGGGAAAGTTGGCATGAGAGAAAGACTGTGATAGAAGAGGAGACGGAGAAGGTTCCCGTCTGGGACGGACGCCAAATAATTTGATCTTGACCCGAGGGAGTGAGGAAGCAAGATTGAAGTTCTGCCGACAAGGTGGCAAAATTTCCAATCTCTAGGTCCATGAGAGCCCTTATGAAGACTAGGTTCCAAGAGCGGGATGAACCTGCCGAAAGCATTTCTTGGGCTATCGTAGCCTCTTGATTTCTGGCCAGAGAAAAAAGATCAGGAAATCTATCCCTAAGAGGAGTATGGCCCAGCCAAAGGTCGTGCCAAAAAAGGATGCGATCTCCTTCTCTTGGTTAAAAACTTATGTGAGATTTGAAGGCAAAGAAAACTGGGCAAATAGACCTCCAAAGACCAGATGACCTCTGATTTGGTTTAAGATCCGGCAGCCAAGGAGAGTTCGGGAGATGGTATTTGTGTCTAAAGACGTCAATCCACAGCTGGTTGTTTAAAGTCCAATTTAGTGGTTATATGATTCATATCATCCTTTTTCTATTATGTTGAGAATGGTTTAAATATTCAGGGAGACCATAGATTTACATTCTTAAGACACCAAAAAGAAAGGTGATGTATCTGCATCAATCAAAATTTATGATAGTCATTTGATGAACATTAAAACTCTTTGTTTAAAATATGTAACCAAATTGGGTTCTATATGTGAAACGTGTGATCATGCAAAATATATACTCGTTATGGATTTGAGTGAATAGTTACAATTGACATTAATGAATGTTAGGCCAGTTAATGGAGAAGTTATAAAAGTCACTGAAAACATAGGGAAATAAAGATTTGACCAGAACTGATGTAGAAGTCGTAGAAGAAAATCATAAAACATGGCAATGCTATAAAAGAAAAAATATGGTTAAGCTGGTTGATGGAGAAGTTATCAAATTACCATTCAAAACATATATATATATATATATATATATATATATATATAT